GGCGTGGTTGACTCTTAACTTTTATAAAGAATATCTCTTTGGATTTGAGACTTTAGTCTTTGCAACTTTACAGATCTTCTTTATGCACCAAGAGCTTGTAACACTCCAAAGAGAAAGGAAAAATTTAAATCGCATCATATGACCCCTTTAAAATGGAAGTCAATGTGGCAAAACATTCAAATAAATTCTAAAATACAAAGTTTTAAAAAAATGTGTTAATATGAGAGTAAGTATTATAAAAACTTAATAATTCTAAAATAATGAATATAATAAAAAAATATATTTAGGCTAATAAAATAATTATATAAAAATGTTTTTTCAAATTAAATTCCTGCTTTAAAAAGTAAATCGTTAAGATCCCCCTGCATGTGTTGAATTAAAAAAAAAAAATCATAAAATCCTGATAAGTCTGATATGTCCTGTGTTGCCAACTCAGTTTAGAGCATTTAGAACAAAATCCATTAAAATTAATACTTATACTCAAAAGCCATTAATATAATGGCTCACATCAAACACGTTTTTAAATGTTCATCATATGCAAAAGCTGATCTTTTTTTCTTCATTGAAAGTTTTAAATATATGATACAGTGTTGGCTCCAGTGCGTAATTATAATCCACTGCATCATTTTTTTAGCCGGTGTGAATTATTTAAATAATTTTAAGATCTAGCAGCACACGACGGGCACGCCACAAACTTCCAAACTACAGAAAACGTTAGCATCTCGGGCTGACACGAAACCGCTGTGATGTTCAGAAGGAGAATGTGCTTTTATTGCACTGTCACTTTGCTTTCTACGCGAGACGCCAGCGAAACGGAGAAGAGGAAAGCAAGGTAGAAGCGTGCTTTAGGCTTTAGACCTCAGGATGAGAGATCCAGATCAAGTGCATCTTTCTGTCTGTCTCTTGAACTGTGTGATGTGTGCAGCACTTTCTGCTTTTATCTAAACAGGTTGTCAGTGAGACACAGAATCACTTATTCAGAAGAAAGCCGGGATCTAGAAGGCAAAGGCACGCCGCCATTAATACCGTAAACTGGAATAACATTACATTAGAAGGAAAGGAGGCCAGCGGGCTTTTAGACCTTTAGCGATGCTGCCCGCTAACGCTAAATTATTCAGCAAAACACACAAACCGCTACAGATAAAGTGTTTTTCAAAGTTTTAAGCACCTATACCTTCAAGACAGCGTCGTCTGCTATATGTAATTCACATTTTATAGCGCTGAAGGCAGAGCGTGATAGCCGCCTGGTCCCTGTAGCTGTTAGCAATCTCTTATTTAAAGCGGGAAAATGTAGCTGCGCTAATGACATGAGTTATGAGGATTATGAGAGATCCTGCTGTCACCTGCTCTGAGATGATGTCCTCTGGCTGTTTGTGTGCTTGCTGGAGAAATGAAACCTTCATGAAGGACTTTAATTAACATTTGTTTTCTCCCAGACTAGACCTCAAGAACCACTGTGAGGAGGATAGAATTATAATGGGCTGATTCCTCAGAAGAGCAGCACCTCTCTACTTCATAGTTTGAAGTAAAACTGTTTTAGGATCAGTGATATACTGTAACAAAAATTTGTAGTGCTGTCAAACGATTAATCGCGATTAATCGCATCCAAAATAAAAGTTGTTGTTTACATAATATATGAGTGTGTACTGTGTATATTTATTATGTATATATAAATACAAACACATGCATGTATATATTTAAGAAACATATGTTGTTTATATATTAAATATATTTATATATAATATAAATATATAAATGTATATACATGCAAATATTTTCAAAATATATACTGTATGTGTGTGTGTTTATATATACATAATAAATAAACACCGTATACAAACATATATAATGTAAACAAAAACGTTTATTTTGAATGCGATTAATCGTGATTCATTGTTTAACAGCACTAATTATATTATATTATATTATATTACATTATATTATATTATATTATATTTC